CCTTATTCACTCCAATTTTTTTGTCGTATCCGAATCAACAACCACCACTCATAACAGGAAAAAGGTTCATCAGTCATTATTTTTATAGAAGTCAAGTCATAATTTTTGTCGGTTACTCAGCCGAAAAGATACATACAGTGTGTCCCACTTACCATGCTCACCATGGGTATCTTTTTAACGGTGAGAGATACGAGGTCGGTTAAATGACACCAAATGTGGAGTTTGTCAAGGCCAACTATAATGTGAAAAAATATTTTGATAAAATCTATTCGTTTTTGTTTTATACGCAAAAAACATATTTTGATCATTTTCATGTCTCCTCCGTAACTTCTTCATTCATGAAAATATTAGAATAGGAATTTCACATTCTCATGGCAGTTTTTCAAAGTGATTTCGAAAAAAATATGAAATTTATACCAACTCTTCTAGAATTTGAGATATCAGCACCAACTTTAGTTTTTCAAATGTAGGTCATAGCTCACTATGACTTAGTTACAAATAACTTTTTTTTCTCTTACAGATGATATGTCGCAGTTATAGTTTTGTGTTGATAACAACGGAGTTATCGTCATTTATACAAAAACAAAAAATTATTTGGAAGCCGCCATCTTGAATTTATAAATTTTAACAAAAAAATCGTGATCTCTCCGACCTCAAAAACCCCCACTTACCAATTTTGAATGGAATCGGACCAAATCCTGTCCGCTATCTATGTTGAAATTGAAAAGAATGGCTGCTCCAAGATGGCGGACACGATTTGGTCCGATTCCATTCAAAATTGATGTGGGCGTTTTTGACGTCGGGGATCATGATTTTTTTGTTAAAGTTTATGAATTCAAGATGGCGGCTTCCAAATAATTTTTTGTTTTTGTATAAATGACGATAACTCCGTTGTTATCAACACAAAACTATTACTGCGGCATATCATCTGTAAGAGGAAAACAAGTTATTTGCAACTAAGTCATAGTGAGCTATGACCTACATTTGAAAAACTAAAGTTGGTGCTGATATCTCAAATTCTAGAAGAGTTGGTATAAATTCCATATTTTTTTCGAAATCACTTTGAAACACTGCCATGAGAATGTGAAAGTCCTATTTGAATATTTTCATAAATAAAGAAGTTACGGAGGAGACATGAGAATGATCAAAATCTGTTTTTTGCGTATAAAACAAAAACGAATAGATTTTATCAAAATATTTTTTCACATTATAGTTGGCCTTGACAAACTCCACATTTGGTGTCATTTAACCGACCTCGTATCTCTCACCGTTAAAAAGATACCCATGGTGAGCATGGTAAGTGGGACACACTGTATAATGATAAAGATGGAGTGAATTTCGAGTGACAATGGAAAATGAAAAAATTCCACCGCCCCGTGTGAGAGTCGAACTCACAACCCCTGGGTTACATGCCCAACGCTCTGCCAATTGAGCCAACGGGTCGTCCGTCGATCAAACGGCAGGGAGGTCGAGTTCTCATCACACACCAGGCGGCAGAATCCTTCCAATTCCTGAATTTACTCGAAATCATGCACTATACGAAGCATCGCTGGCAGGATGGTACTATATAGTCTCCATATTTCCCCGTTCGTCCTCTGGCATTATCTTTCCTTGTCCGAAGGCAATCATACAAAGAAGTCAAGTCATAATTTTTTTCGGTTACTCCACCGAAAAAAAACATATAATGATGAAGATGGAAAGCCCTAATTTCGAGTGACAATGGAAAATGAAAAAACTCCACCACCCCGTGTGAGGGTCGAACTATTTTTACATTTTGGAAAAATGGCTTCCTTATATACAGTTATATTTTATGTATTTTGAAATAATATAAGTGATTTTTTTGCAATTTCAAGTACTGATACAATACTGATGTATATAATGTGGTTTCAGGAAGAATGTGAGTGGAATAATCTTTTTGTAGAAAGTCAGGGGGCGGGACATTGCTCTCTTGAAATTGAACTGAAGAACTTGGTTTGGCGCCCCTCGCCACGAGAAATACGAGGCGCGCGCTTCGTGCGCCTCCCCTATAATCCGCCACTGTAAAATTATCTTCAAAATATTCAGGTTATACATCGATAACTTGTTGCATAACTACGAAGAGTGTCAGTTCAGCAGATGGAATAATCCGACCGCGAAGCGAGGGGATTATTTTGTTAAACTTACACGTTTTGTAATTGTGCAGGAATATAATCATGAATTATTTTTTTAGTTGTTCTGACTGAACGTCAAAATTTCACGACGCGCTTTGTTTGTATATAACAAATAACAATATGAATTGGTTAGTAAGGCAATGGAAATGAGCTTCAACTCGATGAAAAAATAACGGTGGGCCTTTTCGATGGCTAACCGTGTACAGGCTGTCCCTTTTTCGATGACCTTACGGGATATCTCACTTATTTTCAAAGATAGAGATTTGCGGTCTCCGCGAACGTCGGCTACTTTTTTGTGAAACCCTCGATACCGCAAACGAAATTTTTATAACTCGTTTCGTTTTTGAGACACAGGGCAAAATTGAAAATGTTTCATTTTGGGACCGCCCCTGTATCTCATTTATCTGTCAACACATAGAAAAAGGAAAAAGTGTCTTTTACACATTTTTTCACGTATATTTTTCATATTTGAAAAATTGATGCTCTGCACTTTCTAAAAATATATAAACTTATGAGAAATTTCAAAATTTATCCATGAATTTAGATAATTTCTAGTTTTTCAGTAGATATTTCATCGATGGGCCTCGAACATAGGTGGCCCAACATTGTCCATACCTCGAATTTTCATATTCACCTTGTTGGTGGTACAGTGTTTCATCACACGCTAATTTTAATTTTACCAACATTCAACATTTATCAATATTCAGCACTATTTATAGACTGAAAAATCTGTCGACCTAATTAGTAGGTGGCTATGGAAAAAAATGCGAGTGCAGAATGTTTCATAATATTCGTCAGCTTACCTGTCGAATTTTCAAAATGTTCATACTACGGCAAATGATAATCCAGGATATCAAAACAACGAAATTTCAGAAACCAACTTATATCCCAACCATATCTAATTTTTAGTAGGTTTCATATCCGGGATTAGTGTTCATCAACGTAAGAAAAATTTTGACAGGTAGGTGACAAGGATTAAAAAACATTCTATAAACTCGCTTTTTTTCATAGCCACCTTCTAATAAGGTCCACAGCTTTTATTGTCAATAAATAGTGCTGAATATTTGTAAATGTTGAATGTTGTCAAAGTGTGTGACAAAAATTGTGTCAGCAATTAGGTAAATATAAAAATTTGTGATATGGACAACGTTGCCACATATTTACAAGGCCCATCGATGAAAAATCCACTGCAAAACTAAAAGCTATCCAATTTCGTGGATATCAATCATATATATTCTACTTATATATGAGCGGGACCAACTTCTGTCTCTATAGGTAACGAAATCGACCAATAGGCGTTGATGCCGACGTAGGGAAAAAATAATACGAAACTTGTCAAAGCAATATGGCTGTTTCCATCCTTCACTTTCCGTGCTTATAAATTCAAAAGTACCTCTCATTTTGGTCCCATTTTTGTTGAGATATAGTATAGGCGATGCGCTATATATAGAAATAGTAGATTTATGGTATTTATCATAATATCATGAGTGTTATATAATTTTGGAGAGCGCAAAGCAAATTATTTCAAATATGAAAAAATATAAAGGGTGTTCCATGTGAAAAAACATCACTTCGAATCATATCAGCATAATTATAGATTATTTCGAAAATCTGACTACGCCATTGGATTCTACGTGAAAAAATGTGTAGAAGGCAGTTTTTACTTTTTCGATAAGTTGAAAGATAACTGAGATACAGGGGGGTCCCAAAATGCAACATTTTCAATTTCGCCCTTCATCTCAAAAACGAAGCGAGTTATGCAAATTTCGTTTGTCTCATAAAAAAGTAGCCAATGTCCGAAATTTGAAAAATTTTGACACTGACATAGACCTCAAGGCTCAGGTACAGTCTGACTTGTGAAATTGAAAATGTTTGCCCTCATTGTTCACAAGAGAATGGATCTATATGATGCCGAATAGAAAACTCGAAATTGATGAATAGAGATAGCTTGATTTAATCAAGAACACAAAAACGATTGAGCTATTGTAAGTAGGGTTAGAGTATTTGACAGTTGTCAAAATGCGTTGGTCTACGTCTATTAGCGAGAGAAAATAAGCGTACGCCACCTAGCCGGTTTTGAAAGCACCCAAAGCTTTGCTTATTGGTCACATCGTCACATCCATCAAAACAAACCCCCAGAAGCGTTGCCGTCAGGTGAGGTGATGTGTTATTTTCTATCACAAATACAACATCGTGACTTTTCTGCTTAGAAAAACAGATTTTTTTGGGGCCATTCAAAGGTCAAAAGGTTTGTGAAATTTAAGAACCAGATAATAACTAATTAGTTTGTTCAACATATGCCTTAGCTGATGCATTAGGAGAGTTGATTCCTCATTAAGTTAAGAGAGCTTTCTTTATGCAAATAGCTCTAAGATAAATGAAATTGATCATTAGAAATGAAATCATTGCTACCCCACTTCAAGATCATCATGTTATTAAAATTGTGGGTAGTTATTTTTGCTAAACTCTGTAGTTGGATCTTAGGTAACCAATACAAAATTTTCCAGATGCAATACTTTCAAAATGATAGTTTGATTAATGAGTATGACCATTGAGATGACTGTACTCTATTTATGTTCCATAAATAAATGAATTAATTAATAATCATACCTTTCAGGTGAATGCTAGTAGTGCAATATGCATTCACCTTATTGTGTCAATGATAATAATTGTTGCATGGTTCAATTTTAACTCAATCTTATCGAATCAAGATATGGACTGAACAGACTAGAACAGAAAGATGAAACTTTATATCCGTAAGACTATTTCTTAATTTAATTACTTTATAAACTTTAAGACTACAATCACTGTTTCTCTTTTTTGAATAATTAAATCTTTTCTACCTACGAATCAAACGGGCGTTCCAAAATCAGGGTCTCCGACCCCATCTGCATTCAACGAATTCGCATTATAAACATATCTCGCCAATAATTTTTCCTTTCTTTGTTCCGTATCCGCATCAGTGAACTCTTCGTTTGGACATAACCTCAAAGCCTTACCTACTCTGAGGTTCTGCCCGTGAAGGGAAAAGTATTTTTTGCTGCCCACTGATTTGTTGACAGCTCCAACACTCGAAGTACTCTGCTCCAAACTCAACGGGAAACTTTTAACAAATATATCCGACAAAAGATTGTGTATGTTTTCTTCAAACTGAGGGCTCGTTTCGGGATATTTGTACATGGTCGTTTCAACTTTTTTCTCGGGTGTCTGAATTGGTATTGCAGGTGGATCATCTCCTAATTCAGAAGCAGTTGTAGAAATGTCAGAATATCCATCATGTTTGTTGAAGATACTCTGCAAGGTTTTGACTCCGAAGTATTTCTTCCTGTGCTTCTTTTGTTTCTTGTATTCTCGGTTAGGTTTGTGCAGTGGCGAACTACCACAACTGTCAATTGAGTTTAAGAGACTTTGATCGCTTTTTGGATCAGATAGGGAATCGTTAGATCCACGAAAATGAGGTTTGTTCAAGAACTCGCCGAATTTTTTAAGACTCGTCGAAGTTTCGTCATAGGTGAACTTGGGTTTATTTGAATCGCTTTGTATATTTTTGGGCGACTGAGAATCATTTGAAGCAAGATCTGTGGATAAAATTTCCGAATCAATATACACATCCGTACTAGTTTGCATTGGAGATGACAGATTTTCGGAATTCAGAGAGTTTGTTGATGTGTTGTAGTTTTCTTCCAATGTCGAGAAAATATCAACTTTCTTGAAGTTCTCTAATTTTATGATATTGTTGGTGGCGTTATCTATCAGAACTAGATCGTTTGTGTCAACATTGTAAATATCGTTCGTCGTCAAACTTCTGGTGGTGATTTCTGGGGATTTATTATTGTTTGATTGATGGATAGACATATTGCTGAGTCGTTCTTCTGCAGCACGTATAGCAGTCGCAACAAGTTTAATGTCTTCATACTCATCACAATTCCCATTGTTTGCAATCGAATCATTGTGAAACTTACTTTCAATTTGATGAGTTGGCCGAGTATTTAGAATAGTTAGCTTAGTTGTTTCACTTGGAGTATTTGTGACATTTTGTGCAGACACCCTGAAATATTTTATAAAATTATAGTTTGTGGACAAATGTATAAACTGGGCATGCTTAGAGTGATGAAAGTGTTGATTGTCATGCTCACAATTCTTGAAGAGCTGAAATCATTCCTCTAAAAAAAAGGTGCTGCAAAAAACCAACAAACACATTCCAAGAGAGTAAACAAAATTATATTTCCAAAGTAACAAAGCATATTGTATACAAAATATAAAAAGCTGTAGTGATGTAACATAATCCAAAATAACATTAAAAATTGATGATTTTCATACCAAAAATGTAGAGAATAAAAAAGCTGTCCATCAAATTAAGATATTCTTATAGGAAATAGTGACAATAAACAACCCAATAACATGCAGACAAAAAATGTGGATGAGAATCAGGAGATAATGAATTATTTCTATTTTTTGTACAAAACAAGAGTAAACATCTGTAATAGTATGATGAAGCATAAAAATATAAAAATATCTGAAGGAAGTCATCAATCTCGATGTCATAGATTTTGAAATCATATATAGAATCTTAGATACCGATACAAGTGTCGTTACAATTTGACTTGGTCCATTAATTTGCAAATAAAATACTTATATCACAGTTTCATTAGGAAATTGAATTTCTGTATAAATTAAAAATATTATAACCACTCAGATATTCATATATGATAAAAACTTGGAATATCTAATCAATAATCACATTTATAATTCAAAATAAATCAATCTAAAGGTATATGCATACATGCGTTAAAGCATCACATTTGTAATTATACTTAATAGTACATTATACACCTAGGGACTGATTGTTGAGGGATTCAAAATAACTTTAGCCCTGAGGTGTATATACTATTTTATGCACTTAAGGATAGGTAAAACGTAAAAAATAACGAACAAAAATTATGCCTCTGAAAGATGGGTACTCTATTTCTAAAACGTCATTGAAGAGCCGTATCAACTACCTCAGTAACTATGGTGTTCCAGATTTCGGGGAAAAAAGTGGTACTTTGAATCCCTAAGAATAAGTACCTTCAAATCCCCAGGCAAGTACCACTTTTTCCCCCCGAAATAGGGGATAAAGGTACCCTTTAAATCCCTGAAGTGCATAAAATTCTATAATCACACTGGTACAGTGGTAACAATACTAATTTTTTTCATCAAAACTCACCTACTACCAGATAACGAATCTGGGGTTCTAGGTGCTGTTGGCGTGTTCAGAATTTCATCAGTCCTATTGATGTTTGTTGGATTGTTGGTATCACAAACTTCTTCATCGAAAAATCTGGAAAAAGAAAACAATGTCATCATTCACTCATAATCAAACATTTGAAATTTTTGTTTTTTTTTTTATCTCTTGGAGCGCACGAAAGTTTAATTCCTACAACTATCTCAAACACTACCACATATATAATTTGAGGCAATCTCATATAGGGTGTTTATTATACATTAGTCAATTCTCAAATTCTTTCTTTTTTGATCAACCCTGTATTGAAAAGACTATGGAAGTCTCAAATCAGGTGGAAGAACCATTCAATGAAGGGACACATACTCAGATATAAAATTCTTATCGTTCAGGGTTGAAAGAGGATGGCCAAAAATCCATTAAACTGAAATTGAAAAATAATATTATCACTCACTCCTGAGGATATGAGGATATAATTAATAGTTATTTATACACCAAGGTAGTGAAGAATATCAGTATTACCCAGGGACCAAGATTATATCCCGAGGCTTCAGCCGAGGGGTATAATTTACTCCTTTTCGAGACCAAGGTAGTTTTCGTCAGTTTATGAACGATAAAGACATAGCCACTTCATCTGTTGTGATTAACCCGAATGCACTGTTCTGATCAGAGATCCGCAGGAATGGCACTCGAATCTAGTAGATATTTATCAATAACGACGTCATATGCTGTCATGGTCATGGCTAATTATTGAAAATAGTGCTTTCCTAGTGACAATAGGTCCCTATTTCTGTTATACAGAACTGAAATGATTGAAATACATTGCTAGTGGTGGAAAAAATATATAAAACTTGGTAGTGAAGAATATTATTACCACGAGACCTTATACCAGTCGACTGAAGCCTAGGTATATAATCTTGGTCCCTGGTACTCCCTTGGTGTATACATAACAATTTTTCACCACTAGCAATATATTTCAATTATTGTAGTTTGGTGGATCTGAAATATGAACCTATTGTCACTATGAAAGCAATTCTCTTCAATTCAATCAAAATCTAGTAGCATGATTATGACAAGTCGTTATTGATAAATACCTACTAGATTCGAGTGCCGTTCCTGCGAATCTCGCATAAGAACAGGGAATTCGGAGTAAATAATGGTAGGTTCTAGAGCGAGTGGTGGAAAATAGTTATTTATACACCAAGGTAGTAATAATATTCTCTCTACCAAGGTGTAAATTAAATTGTTTTCACCACTAGCAATACATATCAGTGAAACTCTAATATGATCCTATTGTCACTATGAAAGCCCCTTTTCTCAATTTTGAAATCTAGCAATGACCATGACAGCATATTATGTCAAGTCGTACTATTGATGACTACTAGATTCGAGTGCCATTCCTACGGATAAAGCATCAGAACAGTGAATTTGGTTAATTATAACAGAGATGGCTGTCTTAGAATAGAATAGAATATAATACCTTTATTCATCCAAGAAGATCATACAATTATGATATAGGACAAGTCTTTAGAGTTTTTAACAATTTTTATCATCACCTAAACTAATGACCATTCATCCATCCTCATATGTTCATACTTGCGCTCATCACCATTCACACAAATCATCTACCTATACTAAACAGAGTACTGAAGGTACTCTTCAACGGAATAAAAGGCATTCTCTAGCAATAATGATCTGATAGCAGACATAAACTTTTTCAAACTAGTCATGTTTTTTATTCCATTGCTCAATTTGTTATATAAGACTGAGCCCATATAATAAGGATTTGATTTGTACAATTCTAATCTATGGATATCATATTGTAAATTATGCCCATACCGTGTTGGATATGTATGAGTAGCATTTTGATACACAAAGTCAGTCATATTTTGCTTCACAAATTTCAGTATCTCAAAAATGTATAAACAAGGCTGAGTAAGAATTTTATTCTTAACAAATGTGGATTTGCATGATGCTCTATAAGTTAGCCCAAACATATATCTTATTGCCTTTTTTTGTAAAACAAAAATCCTGTCTGATGTTGTAGAGTTACCCCAGAGAATGATTCCATAACGAATATGATATTCAATGCACGAAAAATAGTATACTTTGACTACATCTTGACTAGAACATTGTTTTAATCTTTTCAATGCAAACGAGTTACTTGCGCACTTTTTACTTACTGCTGACACATGTGATTCCCAATCTAGAGATAAATCTAAGTGAATGCCTAGAAGTTTGAATGACGTCAATTGTTCAATTGATTTACCAGTGTATTTCAGAAGTTGGCTTTCATAATAACGGTTTGCAAGGGGATAAAATTGCATGAAGAATGTTTTTTCCTGGTTGAAGGTCGGTTTTTTATTCTGAAAGTAGTGAATCACTTTATCAAAATTAGTTTTGATTACTCCAAGGGCTTCTATTTGGGTTTCACCACTGGACAAGATAGTTAAATCGTCTGCGAAGGCAGTGAAAAAAGTACTCAAGCTGTTATCAATATCATTAATATATAAGATGAATAAAAGAGGACCCAAGACACTACCTTGTGGGACACCAATATCCACAACTAATTCATCTGATCGTTCTCCTGAACATTCAACAAATTGCTTCCTATCGCTGAGATAAGATCTCAAAACTTGATTGCTTCGACCGCGAATACCATAAGCTTCTATAGAAGATAAAAGAATTTCGTGGTCGACACAATCAAATGCTTTAGTGAGATCGACAAATAGTGCCAATACTTTGTTTTGTTTATCTAAATTTTTGTATATGTAATTCAAAATTTGTAGAAGAGCAGCTATTGTCGATTTCTTCTCACGAAAGCCATGCTGATAGGATGATAAAATTTGTTTTCTAAAAAGGCCAAAATTCTAGTAGCTAGCAGTTTTTCAAATATTTTTGAAAATACTGATAAGATTGCTATAGGGCGATAATTACTGATTCGTGTGCGATCACCTTTCTTGAAAAGAGGGAGTATTTTCGCTAATTTAAGTATACTAGGGAAGGTGCCGGCTTTGAAACATTCATTTATGAGGTGTACCAGAGGTTTGGATAACTCACGAGAGCACTGTTTTATTATTTTGATGGAAAAATTGTCATGCCCTACTGAATTGGAGACTTTCAATGCACTTATAACATTCATTGTTTCGTTGGTTGTCACTGGTAATAAATACATCGATTCATTTACAGCAGTGACAGGTGACTGTTCGTTTGGTCGGATTGAAGTGTTTGGAGAACGTAGTGACTTTGGTAGTTCTACAAAATATTTATTAAAATGATTAGTGATGATCTGGTTGTCTGTGACCAAAACATTGTCAACTTCTAACTTAAAATCACTTGGAGATGAAACATTTTTTGTTGTGCTGTGCTTAATTGACTAGTGGTTCATAAAATGACGAAAACTACCTTTGTATTAAAAAGACACTTTACGCCTTGGAAAGGAGTAAATAATGGTAGGTTCTAGAGCTAGTGGTGGAAAAAAATGAAATCCTTAGTCATAAGCAAAGCACATATAATGTTCAATTTTTCCTATACTATAGATAGATGAATTATTCGCACATACTCTAGAAGAATAACGTAACAGATATTTATGATACCAACATGAATTCCCACAACAATCATAATATTAGTTCCCAATCGTAGCCAGTGTTGTCATGTCGCATATTTTAAAAGTAATAAATATTCCGTCATCTTCATTTTTCATCCCTGCTTCATAAATCTAAAGCAATAAATTCATGTATTTGTTAGTCGGATTATGTATAAACACTGGAGAATTAATGCGTAATGATTCATACCTAATTCTAGTATTTCTAGTCAACTCGTCGAGAGCTTACGTACGCAATTCAAGTATTTTCAATACTTCTTGGCCAATGTTGCAACGTCGCTTCTGGGTATTCGACAGTGGACAGCGATAAATGTTTTGTTTGGTATCGTCGTATTGTTTATGTGTCGTTCGGAAGGATTTTCTCTACTTATGTTCCGTTTTGTGCTTCATCAATAATATAAACTGAGTTTATAACAATATTTTGCTGATCTTTGTACAATGGTGAGACGTTGTGAGGTGTGTAAGAGACAATTTGATCCAAGTTATCAGAACACGTCATTTCACAGGTAAGCGGCCAGTGTCGTATCATACGAAGTTTCAATATCGTTTCCCCAAATCGAGATGGAAGCAATAAATATCCAATGAATTAATAAGATTAGATTTAGGCTCTCTGCAACATTCAGTGTTCTCCGGTGATGTGAAAAATATTTACAGGTTTCCTCAAAATGCAGAATTGATGAAAATATGGGAGAAAAACATTGGAAAAGAAAACGTTTCCAACGAAGCTAGGATATGTTCGGATCATTTTCATATCAGTGACATAATGTTCAGTCCAGGTTGAAAGAGATTATCGAAAAGATGAGCTATACCTGTTTTTCACCATAAGAAGGAGAGGTGAGAATTTCTTCAATGAATAACTAAGTATTGAAACGGAAATAATTTGAACCCATGTCGACAGTGGAATAATCAAGACCTATGTGACTGCTGTGGACTAATGTGGTGATCATTATGTGGTAATAATTGTAATTTTGTTATTATTGTAGGGTCATTCTTGAAGGAAGCATTGAAGAAAGCAGAATATGTACATCACAACAGAATGAAGGAGCAACACAATGACTCCATTTTGTGTTATCTGACAATATATTGTCATCTCCCGTGAAATGTCGAATTTCAAGAAAATGGAGCTTTGTCAAAAGTTCTATTACTTGAGAGGAAATCAGATGGCTATAAGCCGAAGAAATAAAAAATTTCGCTATTATCTGTTACAGCCGTAGAAAAAGTATAGTGTATAACTCGCACGGAACGCTGATTTCCCACTCTTATGATTTGCAGCATTCGCCTACGGCTCATGCAGCAAACTTTATTATCGTGTGAAATGACTATCATTCTGTGCTCGATAAGCAATGTACCTACTATTTACTGAATTGAGTGACCCTTTCTTATTGTATGTTTATAAGTTTGACAACAACGAACGTGTTACAATAAAAATGTTAAATTTCGTGTCCCAATTCCTGATGTTTAGGTATGACAAAAATACGGATGTATCGTATCTATCAGAATGTTTGTATAGCAATTTGATGAATACAGACTACAGTAAAATTAATTCGATATTTATTGCCAGAAAAAGCATATTTTTAAATTTTCTTCCACAATCAAGAATTTATTATATCAACCATTGTCTGCTAAATAGAGAAAAAATCTAGTGAGCTGGAATTTCTGGTCTTCCCAATAGCTCAGTTGAGTGTAGGACCGCTAGAGGATGTTACCGTATCGTACGATATGATCGTCACTTTTTTCTAGAAAAATTTCGAAATTTGTGGTTATGTAAGTTGTCACTGGTTGTCAGTGTCAAGAGCTGTCATGCCATCGTGACTTGTTTTGATTTTTTTTTCTAAAATATCATTCTTTTTCAATTCTCATTGTTCTAATATTCCTTTCGTTTATAGATATAGTTTTGTGTTGTGCTCCCAGTATTATAGTAGTTTATTCTGATTATCAATGTGTAACAAACTCTGTCTCCTCCTATTGTGCCTACCAGAAATTGTGAAACCATCTCCATTCCTGGATTTCCAAGTGATATTTCTTTGCGACAAAGTAGATAGTGTGGATACATTCGATATTGAGTGTTACAGGATCATCACAAGTAAGGAAATCAGAGCCCTGATCAAATGCTAATAATCGATACTTCCGATTCTACCACTCATTTACTTTGGGTGGTGCTACAAGTCCCAAAATTGAGAACTATTGTAATGTCTGTAACAAGCATTTTGAGAAGGAATGATTTAAGGTGACAAAACACGGGAAAAAGTTGCTAAGAAAAGGATCAATCCACTGGAATTTTTAGGGTAAGTGTAGATTTAATATTGATATGATGAATGAATGTGGAAGAACAGGTTGGGTTCTCCTTCGAGCCAGCAGGAAGAAGTTTCTCACAGTCATTGAGCAATGAGCATATGTAATCTCCCAATGTGAATATCAATTTGTTTGGTTTATGGATATTAGTTTTGTATGATTTCACATAGGTATTAGCTTCTCACTTAATTATTGAGTACTATGATAGACTATGATGATACATTATACCTATTATATGAAAATTATTTTTAGAAACCTACTGATGCCTGGGTGACTCCATCATCATGTAAGCAGATGTGTGAGATGAATTCTTCACTCAACTAATGAAATTTGCTCATCTCAAGATAAGATATTTATTTGCCTGCAAACTACAAAATCAGTACATATAAACAGGTAGAACACTGATTTCAAAAACTTATTACACATAAGGTTTGTATACAGTGAGTCTGATAAATTAAATGCTCTTATTGTAAAGATAGTGTTAAAAATGTGGCAAATTGAAAATTGATCTGTTATTCTAGGATATTCCTCAGAAATGGATAGTTTGACTAAAAATCAATTCATTCAGTTCTTTGCGAAAGCACTTTGTATTGCTGAATGTTGTGTTTAGTTAATTTTCTATAGAACATTAGGTTCTTGTAAATTTTTTTCTCAATATCTGATTCTATATAATGTACAGGGTGTTAGTGAATGAGTGTGATAAACTGATAATCTATACAGGGGGTGATACCTTGTGATATATTTTAGGAAATAAAAGTCATATAAACATGTGTCCATGCTTTGAATATGCTTCGTTTTCCAGATACAGGGTATTAATAGTTCCATGAAAAATCGATTTTTATTTGCCTACTGGAATGTCTCAATCAATTCCAATGAAACTTGGTGGTTTGGATGATAGTAACTTGGAACTTCTTGTGGTGTAATCAGATTCAAAATAATTCTTCCAGGGCGTCACATTGGGGTAATTGATTGATATTTATAACCACTGGTTTTTATGATTTCCATATATTTATTGATTGAATGACAATGTTCTTATCTGTTATTTTGTATCTCCCTTAGTTTTTGAGGAAACAATGAAAATTCAATTGGTTTACAAATTTCAAAGGAGTGCTTTCAATACACTCATTGAGCATACTTAACAACCTCAATAAGAAATATTTTGTGACTTTGTTGGTCACCAAAGCATACGGAATTTGCACCATGCAAGCTTATAAATTGATGAATAAAAACCTTACTTCCTACTTCAACATCCATTATCTCAAAAGGTTAGGACATCATCATGTTTATATGAACTTCATTTAATAAAATATCACATGGAATCACCCTCTGAAGTTTTCTTCACAACTATTCACAAACACCATATATATTATCAGTATCTGTATTTGATTTATATTATAAACTATGAAAATATTACATAAATAAAAAAACATACTTTCACTTACTGTTCACTTCCAGGATGACGGTGATGCAAGTGGTGAATATCAAAATAATTGATCACTGGATATCAACACGGTGATAATTATGAATAATCTTTGGTAAGAGTCCAAATTGCTGAAAGTGGAGTGGAAATTTTCAAAGGAAGGAAGGAATGCTCAAAGTCATCTCCACAAATGTTAATGACGTTGTTACACAATCAGGAACATGTTTCATTCTTAGAAAATACCATCCTCAGCCTAAGCCCCTAGTAGATATTTTATTACTAGAGTCCATCTTTAGCCTAAGCCTCTTGAAGAATTTTCATTAGACTGAAAGATGGTATTTTCAAAGAAAAGAGCCCCTTGTAGATATTTCATTACTAAAGACCATCTCCAGCCTAAGCCTAAAGTAACACCCCTCCTCTTTACTTTTTGATGCTTAAAAAATGTGTCAAATCTAATTTTTGGTAGTAACCTTTGAAAAACTTTCATTGAGTCTGGATGCTTTATTGAAATATTTTCTCAATGGCATGTGGGATTTAAATATGAATTTTCAACACCCATTTATTCTCTAGTGGGAGGGTTACTTTATGGACTATGGACAGACCATGTATATATTCAAAAGCAGATTTATTACTGATTTCGTTATCACATATTTCATGAAGCATCAGTTTCTACGAAATGTTGGGTGTTCATAAATTATATTTTGGCATAAATAACTTGAAAAACGTGTTGTTCTCTGCTCCAACAATGCATGCCCTACTAAGGGAGCAAATGCAATTGTTCAATTAATTCAGGAATAATTAGTCACCACTTATTTTTTTTTATAATTATATTTTACTGTATATACTAGTAAGGTATCTGATGTTTGATTGTGGATTAAGGAATTTACCTATTTCTTAGATCTGATTATAAAAAAATTAACATTCAGAAGAAATAATGAAAATTCATGGGTGAAATTTGTAACTGATTCTCAATTGTTCAAGTTGTTCTGTATTCTGTTGTATCAAATGATATGTGATACAAATATGCAAATACATGGTCCACACAGTAGTTATGGCATTATTATACCTACCTATATTGCCTTGTATGCTATGTCATAAACAATCAAAAATGATTCTCTATATTGTCCAATTCAGAAACTGGAAGTATTTACAATTTTATTTGCTTAATTTAAACAATTTTATCCAGATAGGTATCCAGTAAATTACTTTGATATTTGGTCATTGTAATGAAACTTGACATTAATTGAATACAAATATATTTTAGAGCCAATAAAACAATATCATGTTGGGAATGAATCTGATTTATTTGAATAATTAATTCAATGATCTTTCTTCCAGATTCCAGTACCTATAGTCCCCAAATCAGTCATTTCCTGATTCCCCATCTCATCCAACTCCTGATAATTTTTCAACATTATATGTCATATAAGATGGGCCCCCTGAAGTTGCCACCTCCATCTTCTACATATTCCTGAATATCTTCTGATGGGTTCTGAAAATTGACATATTCATCCTCGGAGTATTCATCTGAAGTAGCAGTGATTTTTTTATATTTACTGTGTACATTTTATGACCTGCCTATGCATTTTATCTATGTTATGAATTAGTTTCATTGAATAAATAAAGAATATACAAGAATTTGAAGAACAAACACTACAAAATCAATAAAAAAATATTAATATACATTTTGAATATTATTCAATTTTATTAATCACAGATGTATGAAATGAGTTTCAAAAAGGAATACTGATTTCCACTCTATACATTGATTGTTTGATATTGTCCCAAGAAACGTAGTTGTTTTTAATAGGAATACATAATTACAAAAACAATTTACATAATTTGTAATGCATGAAAGTTACAAAAATTATATCATTATATCAAGCAAAAAAAAATAATGCAAATAATCATGAAATTCCAAACTTATTCATTATAAGTATTCAAATAGGAAATGGAATCATCAAAGTCTCTGAAGCAAGAAGCTAGCAAAGCATCTCACGAATTTCAACATGAGACACATCTCATAATTTTAGGATTATTTTAGGCTAATTTATTACTCAATTCTGGAATTGTTTGCACATCGAAAAATCTGTGGCTTTGCTAGCTTTGGCCGAACTCAGCATTTTTGAAAAACAATATTTTTCTATGATTTGATAAAGTGAAACTGTAGGCCATTGTAGGGCATATTTTATGCTAATTTATTACCCTATTCCCATATTTTTTATTCACTTCATTCACAAAGAAATCTGTGGCTTTGCTAGCTTCGGGTCAGTAGAGCCATTTTTTAAAACAGATTTTTCACTGATTTGATATATTGGGATTTATTGGCTAATTTTCGGTTAAT